CCCCGCGCGCCCGCATCCCGGGCCTCTCCCCCCGGCTCTGTCGCGGCGGCCCCTGCGCGCCCCGCCCCCGCGGGCTTCCTGCGCCTTCCCTATGCCCTGCGGGCAGGAGGCATTTCCGCCGTGGAAAACTGTCTGAGCTGCGTGGAGTGTGTCGGGGAAGGGCCCGGAGAGGGCAGGACGCGTGGCGGGCAGGAGGGAGGGGTGCGACGGCCGGCCCGGCCAGGCTTTTCCGAGCCCCGGCAAAGGGGTCTACGCCGCCGCTGCCCCCGCCCTCGGCGGTCTTGGGGGGCACCAAGCGCCCCCCTCCACCACCCGAGACAGGACGAAGAAAGCCTTTGTCTACTGCCCCCCGGCCCCCTTCCCGCTGCAGGCTTCTGAAGCGTCTTCCTCAACGCCTTGCCCCCTCCCTAAGTTTTGTGCCTCCCATTCAGTCTTGCCCCGGGCTGCTGAGGACGACCTGGGCACGGGAAGAGGGGGCGCTGGAGACGGCCCCAGAAGTGGGCGTCAGCCTGAGTCAGGAATGCCAGGAGCCTGGGCGAGCCCCTGCCCCTGTGCGGTGGTCACTGCAGCAACCGGCCGTCCCCAGCAAGGAGAACTCAGCGACCACCCAGGGCGGATTGGGGGTTGCTCTGCAGCCCCACCAGAGCAGTCCAACCTTCATCTGGAGAGCGATGGAAAGGGGGGCACTCCATGTTTGAAGACGGTGGTCTGCAGCTGTAGAAGTTTGCAAGGGGCTCTTCAGGCCTCCTTTCTCTTTTTAGAGGAGGGGACCAGCCTCCTCCCCCTCCTCTCAGCCCAGGGAGGGGGGCAGGAGGCAGCGTTTCTTACTCTCTTCTTTTTCTGGCTGTTTCTGCCAGGGGCAGGCGCCCAGGAGAGACCAGGGGGCAGGAACCTGTTGCTGAGAGCCACAAGATTGGGGGAGAGGCGAGCACCAGGCCAGACAGTGGGAAGATGTAGTTCCAACTCCATCAGAAGGCCCACCCACCAAATTTTGCAGGAGTGGCACATTCTCCCGCAGCAGCCTGCTGATGGCCTTGGGCAGGATGGCAGAGCCCAGCGTCGCCTGGGTAGTAACCTGTCTCCCGCTCTGGCTTTCAATCAGGCTCTGAAATCCAGTGTCCTCTCCCCACCCTCACCCAGCATGAAATGGAAACATCAACATCTTCCTGCGTGCTGTTCTGTTCGGGTGGCCTTGAGCCTGCTGAGGTGCCTCCTCCCCCAAACCTTGTTAGTTGGGCAGGATCCCCCCCCTCTCTGATTGGCAATGGGAAGCTTAGAGAGGGGGGAATCAGGAGGAAGAATTAAAATCCCGGCACCTTCAGGATGGAACTGTATGTTGGTCAACTTTCCCAGCGTGCTGAGGCCCTGAGGTGGCTCGGGAGGCACATTCAGGTGTCACATGTTGGCTCTGCCTGTCGCTTTCCATTTGGACACCCTAGTTTCCCTGCCTGGACAGCAGCCACATTTCCCTTGCCCGGCGCCTGGTGTGGAGCCAGCCCTCCTCTCCTGCCCATTTCACAGCTGAAGCTCAGGACAGAGCCTCAGATGCTGTCAGGGCACTGAGAGAGGTGGCAGGGCAGGAGGCTGGAGGGGCGGGCAGGCACACGGGGAGGCACAGCGAGCTGCATTATGTCTGCAGCAGTGTGTGCATTTTGTCTCACGCTGACGGGGGTGCACAGGAGAGCTTCGTAGAAGGTCTCTTCTGCCTGGGGGTGACCCCAAACCCCTCCTTGGTGTTTGAACTAGACTCAAAAACAGCTGTAAACAGTGATCCCTGGAAGGAGCACTCGATGGACAGGACAGTGCACCAGTGTCTTTGGGCAGTTGTCGACCAGTGTCCAGGCCCAGGGGACAGGGCAGGGTGGCAGCAGCACCCTCCCAGCAGAGACTCCCCCTGCTTCTGAGCAACAACTGAAACACAAGGAGGATTTTGTCTCCAGACCTGAGGCTGGGAGGAAGTGCCTCCATGGGCGGGGAAGGGATGGAGGTGGGGGCCCAGCTGGGCTCCAGCTGCCCAGCCTCCCCACGTGGTGTTTTGACTCTGAGATGATGAGAAGACTGCGCTGCTGGGCACTGGTGTGAAGCCCCTACCTCCAGCAGCCACTGGCTGGGTCACTCTTCCCTTTCGGAGGCCCACGGGCCAGCCCTGCCCCTCTCCCCACAGTCTGCCTGTGCCTGCATGTACACACACACACACACACACACACCAGACACAGGCGGGTGTGGGCATGTACAGACTCACGGGCTGGGGTCTGCAAGAGCAGAGAAATATTTTAAATACAGTCATCTTACCTCTGTAATTCTGTCCTTGACATTTGCCTTTGATTAATGGCCCCTGTGTCGTCCCCTCCCCCAGCCTGCATACCTGGGGATCAGATTTCACTTTCGCTGTGTGTCCTGGCCTTGGGGGCTTGGCAGGAGGAGCTGGGTCTCCTGGAACTGTTGGGGGAGCCGGTTTGGCCAGGCTGGGAGGCCTCCTACCCCAGTGCTGCTGCCAGGAGGGTGAGGTCAGAAGGACCTTGGTGAAAAGGCAGCCCTGCTCAGCCCTTCCCCTCGGCAGAGTGGGGACTTTCAGGGATGCCATCTAATGCTGGCCTACCAGAGGGCTTTGGCATTTGGGCGGCCACCACAGGGGCTTTTCACGTTTCCCCATCCTCCGCTCCCTTTTCCGTTCTCTCGGCCGGTCCTTGCGTGTTTCAAGGATGTCAGCAGACTGCCAAGACGATGAGTTTCTCTTAGTGAGGAAAAAATGTTTATGGTGGAGTCACAAGCACAGCCGCTCTGTCCCCCACCCCCAATCTCTCCAAGTTCTCTCCCCCAGGAGAGCTCTGCCAGCAGCGAGCTTGGCTTCTTGTCCTTCCTGAGCCTTTGTTCTCTGGAGACGCCTCGCCTGTCGGGGACGGGACAGAGGTGCAAACTCGCCTGGCTCCACCAAGCAGAGCGCGCTTCTGCACGGGTGCTGCCCCCAGGCCTTCCGTCTGCAGGGAGGACGGAGGGCTTTCCACTGACCGGGAATCCCCGACCCGGCAGGCACGTACCGGGGGACGTCTGTGCTTTTGCAGGCACAGTGGGCATCTGCCACTCCCCCAGCCCTCTGCCGAGGACAGGACTGATGTGGGGGGGAGGGGAAGCCACCCCGCCCCCCAGCCTTCAGCCTGGGCCCGCAGGGAGTGTGCTCCTGGCTGCCAGCCTCCTCCAGCAGCCCACACTTAATTTGGACATTGTTAGTGAGGGACGGGAGCTGGGGAGCTCTCCCCATGAGCCCTGGGGGTCTGCCGAGTTAATGCTCCAGTTGGCTGGTTTCCCCCTGACCTTTTTGGCCCTGGCTCTGCTAAGTCATTTACTGAGCACCATTACCAGCCTCAGTGAAGCCAACAGGCGGAGGCCCAGGCCCAGCTCAGGTCCCTGGACATCTGGCTCACGTGCCCCAAATGAGTGTGCAGGGAGGCACTTTGCTCAGGAAGCCCCGTTGCCTTGGAAACAGTATGCAATATTTTTCCACTTTCTAAATGGAAGCCCCCAAATGCCTGCCTGTCAGTAACTGCTCCTGTGGAGAGCAGCGTATTTCCGGGTGTCCAGCGTGACAGTGAAGCAGCTGGTCGGGGCGGGGGTGGTGTCTCAGGGAGGCTGATGGCTGGCAGCCAGGGATCTCAAGGGGCAAGGGCCCAGGGTTGGGCCCAGGCTGCCTCTGCCCCACCATCCCCAGGCAGGTGGAATAAATATCCCCAAGACCACAGCCTGCAGCAGGGGCCTTTGGAATTGGAGCCTTGGCTTTGATTGTGTAGTGTTGCACCCAGTTGGCAGAGGCCACCCTGGGGCAGGATTCAGGGGCTGTCCCTCTTGTGTGGGGCTTTATGTCAGAAGTTCCTGTGGTCTGCAAGCAGGGACCACCATGCTTTTCGGTCTAGCTCTAGCTCTCGGCAGCCTCTGCTCCTGCCCTCACTTCCAGCCCTGCTACTCAATCATGATGCCTCCAAGGGCTCAGCTCTGCAGGCTGGAGGCTGGAGGGTTGGAGCAGGGTGGCTGTGGAAGCCCTTTGGAAAGGCAAAGCCCCCCCCCCCCCCGCCCAGCTGCTGTTCCTGAGGGCCCTGTGGGCTGTGGCCATGTGTACACTCACTCATGACCTTGATTAGTGTCCCCAGAGCACAAAGGAAATGCCTGCCAAGTGGGTGGTCCCCACAATCACAGGACCCCGGCTACAGGGTCAAGGTGGGGAGAGGCCCCAGGCCTGTGGGTGGGCTCAGGCAGTGGATGGCAGTGGGTTTGACCCCAAACCTCCTGGGTGAGCTCCTTGGAGGACAGACCTAGGTGTGGGGGTGCAGGTCAGGCCAGGGCTCCATCCCCGGGCACAGAGGCTGGGGACCAGCTGGCCTGCTGATGAATGTGCCCAGTGATGGGGAGGGTACCAAACAGGGAGGGCTCGGACCCTCTGATGAGGCTCACACTTGCTCCCTAAGGCTCAGGCTCCACACCCCGCTGTGCTCTAAGGTAGCAGGTACTGAGGATGGGGCCTGAAGAGCAAAGCAGCCCTCACCCCCAGCCCCACCAGGCAAGGACCCCTGTGCTGTGCTGAGAGATAAGGGCCTGTCCTGAGTGACTTAGACCTGAACCATGTCCCCGCCCTCCCACCACCGGCTCCAGGGTGAAGGGAGAAAGGAAACATGGCACAATCTCAGAACATCTGGCTGGAAAGTGTCACTTAGTGCGACCTGTTTATTTTGTAGATGGGGAAGCCAAGGCCCAAAGAGAGCTAAGCTGGTGGTTAGTGGCAGGGCTGGAATGACAAACTCCAGGCTCCTGGGCTGGAGCTCCTCCCCTTCCCCATGCTGCCTCAGCTTCTTGAGGTCAAATTGACCTCTAACCTCACCCTCGGCCATATCTGGACACCGTGGAGGAGCGAAGGGATGGTGGACATTAGAGGCAGAGACAGGCCCAGGGCTTTTGCAGCATCTCCAAGGGAGGATAGGGGACTAGGTTAGGGCAGGGGAGGTAGGGCAGACCAAAAGGTGACCAAGGTCACCCAGCTGACTCTCAGTCCAGTGCTCCAGGTAGAGCAGTTTTATTGAGTTTTATACTCACACACCATCCACTGGCCTACACCTGTGGCCTGGAGTCAGGTCAGGTTGGCATCCTGGCAGCCCTGTGGCTACGATCCTCAGCAGGACCCTCAGATCCTGCTTTGGCTCCCAGAGCAGGTTTTTTTCTAGGAACTTCCTGGCCTGGTCTCCCTGACAGCCACATTTCCCTCCTGGCAGGAACTCTCTGGCTTCCGGAAGCTTCCAAACTTCACCCTGTAGACTTTACTTCCGACAGCCTTCTGGCCACTGCTGGCCAGTGCCTGCGTGGAGCCAGCATGGATCACGGGCCCAGGGCTGCCTGGCCAGAGACAAGCACCCATGCCCAGACCCTATAGGCCTCTCAGAGCCCCTGCCCCCAGCAGTCAGTGACTGCTCCCTGCCATGGCCTGCTTGGTGAAGTCCAATAGCCTCCACACCAGTCTCCCCACCTCCCACTGCCCTCATTCCAGCCCTTACTATGCACTCCAGCTTTGTCACTCCTCAGCTCAAGAGCCTTCCCTGGCTCCCCTTTGCCCAGAGCAGTGGCTCCCAGCTGGCCTGGTGCATCCCAATTCCCATAGATCCCTGGGTGTAGTGCAATCACTAGGGCCATGTCAGTGTGTCCCCCGTTTTATGCTTGAAAGCATATACAGTGGTCACAGCTGGTATAATGGAGGGTACGAAGAACACGGGAGATTCAGAATGTACCTGCCTAATCCCAGGGATCATTTTAGGTGCCTTCGAGGTGGGTCTCGGCTTCTCTAGCTGGGAGGAGGCGGGGGACCCTGGTGCGACGTCCTTTCCTTCCAGGTGATGCTCTGTGCGTCCTTCCCTCGCCTTTCCCCACCCTTCTCTGGGCCAGGCCAGCAGGGTGAGGTCTCACTTAGGGAGGAGGGCGGTTTCCAGGGCAGTGGGCGCCTGGCTGACCCCAGCACTGCTGTCCACAGGAGGAGCGGCCCCCCTACCACCGCTCCAAGAAGGGGGGCTCGGTGGGCGGCGTGTGCTACCTGCTGATGGGCGTGGTCGTGCTGCTCATGGGCCTGGTGTTCGCCTCAGTCTACATCTACAGATACTTCTTCCTTGCTCAGGTGAGGCACCGGGCTGGAGGGAGGCCAGGCCTCGGAGCACGGCTAGCGTTGAGAGAGGAGCAGAGGGAAGCGTGTAGGGGCAGCCAAGAGCCGGGAGCTTGGGGCTTGTGAAGAGGGGACAGCAGGAAGCCCAGGACATGCCCTCAGGTGAAGCAGGGGCCCGGGTAAGCCCAGAAGACCTGCCTGGGGCCTCCTTGGGCCTAAGCCAGCCCCACCCTTAGTCTCTTGTCCCTGGGAGCCAAGCACTGATCCAGGTGACAGCAGTAGGGCTCCTCCCACAGCGTCACCCTGGGGAATTACCACCAGAAACTCAGATCCAGCAGAAATTGGGACTCTGTGATCCCCTCCAGAGCTTGGGCCCTCTGACTACAGGTCTTGCTTTAAGGCTGCCCTAATTCCGTTCCACACATGGACATTTGGGTTATGGAACAAGAAGCGGGAGGATGGGTACAGGCAGATTCTCCACTGCCCCCCTCAAGGAGCAGGACGGGGGGCAGCCAAGGGGCTCGCTTCCACCTGCCATCACACCCCCTGGGCATCTGGGCACAAGCAGGAGAACTTGTGGTCACAGCAACCTTGGGATCAACCTAGACCTGGGGAGGGAGTGTCAGCATGTTCCGGGAACTGAAGGTAGTTAAATTAAAACTAGCTCAAAAGGAAAAACATAGACGTATCTAATGGACAGTCAGTCTCAGGGTAACAAAAAGGCTGGGACTTGCCAGTCTGTGGCCCAAGTGACCTCCTCCCACCCCTAAGCATTTAGCATTGTTGTCATCCAGTTTTTCCCCGGTAGAAATTACTGAAGAGTGTGTATTCCATGGGGCTTTCCCCTGACACCGCAGCTCCCGCAGCCTGCCACCTTCCCACGTCCCCTCCCTCACCCCTCCCAATCCACAGCCTGCTTCCCACTTGTCCCCAGCCCCAGCTCACGTCCTCCTGGGGATCCTCACCCCACCCCAACTCCTGGACAGTGCGGACACCTCAGAGGGCCCCTTGGCCTGTGCCTGGGCATCCAGTCTAGAGCCACCCGGCTGTCCTGGCAGGCACGGTGGCCCAGCCTCAGTCTCTCAGCCCTCAGGGGCCGCACATGGCTCGATGATTCATCCTGCCGGGAGAGCTCACGCTCAAACAGATGGGGGAATTCTGCCAATTACAGGCCAGGCAATCCCCAGCACGAGGCCCAGAGAAGAGGGGGCAGTGGACACGGTGTTTAAGGTTTCTCAGGCATGGGGGCTGGGAAAGGAGGAGACTTGTCCAAGGTTGGTCATGGAGGTGGCCATGGTGGTGGCACTAGAGTCGAATGATGCTGCCCCTTAGCTCCTATCCTTCCCTCTTTCTGTCCCCCAAGGTCTGCAGTGGGGGGCGGGCAGCAGGTGGCAGAAAAGGCAGGCAAGCACCTCTGGTGGCAGCTGAGGGCAGCCCTACCCCATCCCACCCCCAGCACCCAGCCTGTCCAGCTCTGGGGTTTGCCCCCCAGGACCCCTGCCCACCCCAGGCTCTTTCTCTGGTGTCTGCCCCTCTGTGGAAGGCTCAGGGGTGATCGGGTCCGCCCCCTGCTGGTCCACCCCATGTCACAGTCACAGACTCATGGACTTGGAGATGGGAAGGAATCTTTGGGGTCATCCTATTTTACAGATGGGGAAACTGAGGCCTAGAGAGGCTTTTTTTCCACCTAGGAACTGGCAGTCTCAGCTCCCCTCCTCTTCCATTTGTGAAGCTGTGAAGTGCCTGGTCCAAGGCTCAGCTCATCTTACTGGCACCCCAGGCTCTTACCCAACTCCCCACATCCCTGTTTCTCCATCTGTGGAGTGGGTCTCACGGTCCCCACCCTTCCTGCTTCCCCAGGCCTTCGGGGTGTGACGTGGACAGGTAGGTGGCAGTGCCAAGTGCACTTTGTGACCGGTCTCTCTCCCCGCCTTGCTCAGCTGGCCCGTGACAACTTCTTCCACTGCGGTGTGCTCTACGAGGACTCCCTGTCCTCCCAGGTCCGGACTCGGATGGAGCTGGAGGAGGACGTGAAGATCTACCTCGACGACAACTACGAGCGCATCAATGTCCCCGTGCCCCAGTTTGGCGGCGGCGACCCCGCAGACATCATCCATGACTTCCAGAGGGTGAGGGCAGCCTGTGGGCAGCAGCGGCTGGCCAGGGACAGGGCAGGGTAGTGAGATGGTCCCGGGGACCCAGAGCAAGGGCGGCGGGGACGAGAGGAGAATCCTTGGAGTGTCCGCCATGTGACAGAACAAGCGGTGTATGGCAGAGGCCAACGTGTAGGCTCGCCGGGGTGGGAAGGACCTGGCTTTTAGTACTTTTATCGGTAATACAGTCATGACTGAGTGTGAACTAGTCACGGTTGATTTTCTCCTCGGCCACCTGAGCGCTGCAGGCCTGGCTGTCAGGGCGAGGCCGTGTCCCTTGTTTCCGGTCACATCTTCCTGAGGTGCAGCACAGCCGCCATCAAGCACATGGAGCGTGTGGCTCAGCGGGTGTCTGCAGAGGTTTGCGCTCGCGTAACACCACCCAGAGCACGACCTGGGACACTGCCCCACTCTGGAAGCTTCCCTGTACCTGTCCCAGTCAGTTCCCCCACCCAGAGGTGACTGCCCCTCACACCTCTGTTGCCATCGGCTGTTTTGAGGCCAGTGAAACGCAGGCTCCGGCTCTCTTTGCCCTGAACTTGCTTCCCAAAGTTCTGTGGGGCTTTTCAGCACTAACCTTCCCTCCATGTCCTGGATGTTCTTGCAACAGAAGCCTGCAGGGGGCCTGGGAGGGAGCCTCTGTCACTGAGGTCCAGGCTGTCCCCAGGGATGGCTGGACCTCACAGGTTTGATGAAATACAGTTGGGACATTACCATGTTCCCCAAACCTCAGCTCTGCAAACCCATAAGAAGAGCTTTTGTAACAACCGGGGCGTTTCACAAATGGTCGGAGTTTTCACCTATTCATGGCACCTCCTACAGACATAGGCTGGGAGAGCAGCACGTGGCCAGGAGTCTGGGGGCACCGCTCCTGAAGGCCAGGGCCCGGGGATGGCACGGTGGGATTCGCAGCCCTTCCCAGGTCAGCCTCGCCTCCTCCTGCCCAGGGTCTCACCGCCTACCACGACATCTCCCTGGACAAGTGCTACGTCATCGAGCTCAATACCACCATCGTGCTGCCCCCTCGCAACTTCTGGGAGCTCCTCATGAATGTGAAGGTGAGCGGGGGGCATCTCGTCCTTCTCTTGCCCCGTCCCCCATGCAGGCCAGGCATGGGGCAAAGGAGGTTGCTGCAGCGGGGGGCGGGTGGGGAGGGCCAAGGATATGGCTGGCAGCTGGGCCCTGCACCCCAGATTGCTCACACTTCTGCCATCCCCCTGCTTCCACATCCCCAGAGTCAGTGCCTGTTCTTTTCTTCTCCCCCACCGTGGAGAACCCGAAGACCAGCTTCCTTAGCCTTCAAGGCCATGCCCTGGCTCAGCAGTGCAGGCAGGAGACGGGGGCCTGCCCTTGAGGAGCCTTCCCTTTGGGAGGGAGACCAGACTCGCGCGCGCACACACTAGTTCCCCGCAGTGTAGGCACCTGTACAAACAGCAAGTGCCTGGGACGTCAGGAGGAACAGCCGAGGGGCCTCTGCATGAGGGAGGTGGCCGTGTGGGGGAGGGGCACGTGTGAACGGAAGGATGGGCACGCGGGGGG